ACACATAGCTTCTTTGCCCAATGGCCAGTTGGTGTCTGGGCAAAATGATACTTTTGTTGCGAGTGTTCATTCGATTTTGTATATATTCATCCAAAAGCTTGTGTGATACTCAGTGGTCTATCTGCATCTTGTTCCTTTATTCTAATAAGTCTAAGAATACGCTTCTGAAGCCGATCTAACGGGTCAAACGAAGACCTGTAGAAACCTCCCCAGCATATGACTATAAACGTAAGTTATTCCTAGATATTTACTACTGGTAGCTCTCTTCAGACTCACACCACTAATCTTGATTTCAATATCCTGTGGAACAGAGTCTCTATAATTTCCAATAGAGACAAAAACAGACTTGTCTGTGTCGAGTACCAGCTTATTTTGATAGAGCCAGGAGCATATAATATCCAGAGTCGATGACATGGCTGTTGAAAGTTCGGGCCATGATTTTGCTTTCATTGGTACTGCACTATCATCAGCATATGCTATTAAGGTATCTTGCAAAACCAACAAATCATTTATATATAAGATGAACAATATTGGTCCAAGTATTGAGCCCTGAGGCACTCCAACATTTGTTTTACCTTGCTGACTTTAAGTACCATTCACCCTTACAACTTGGCGTCTATCTTTCAGATAACTTGCTATCAAGGACAAACTCACACCCCTTATTCACATATTCTGCAATTTGGACACTAGTATAACGCAGTAGCGTAACGCGTGCGGAAGCCAGACCATCCGGTTTCCGCTCATTTTTCAGGGCTCCATAAAAATTATAAATATTGGAGGTACAGTTCCGGGAGTGGGGATTTGTTTAGCAAATTTGCTGATCTTTTCACATCTTTTTTAACATTTCGAAAATTTTCATTATTTTTCGAGATATTCAAAAAAGCAAAACTCTTTTTTTTTTCACTTCATAACTTTTGGAACCTTTCCTTAAACTTTCTATATAATTTATTAAACAGAGGAAGGTATAAAATTATTTTCTATTACGGACCACAATTTTGCCTGAATTTAAATTCCGAAACTTTCTTATATCTATGAACAGACCATACATGTTGACCAGACTAGCAGCGGCACCAGAGTATCGTATGGTACGCGACGTACGTCAGCAGCGTTACGTCACGGACGGTGCCGTTCGTCAGCCCGCGACAAACTCGTTAATATGAAATAACCGGCTCAATGAAAGGTTTATCCGTGGCCGTAACCCGATGCCAAAACAAACCCCGCACCCTCGCGCGTCTAATATACGGCCGATCAGTCATCCGACGAGGGGCGGCTCGCCCCTAAGACCCCGTAAACGCGGGATTATCTTGCCGAAATGAACATGTTACTCAGAGTCGCCGAAAACGCCGCCCGCTCGCGTTTTATTTTACATAAAATATCGATCGATGAATATTTCATCGGGGTTTATCGGTTCGGACGATTACCGCCCCCGCTGAATAATTTACGCGGCTCCAGTGGCGTACGGAGCCGTCCCCCGTTCAAATCAAACTAATGGAAGCCGTGGGGGGAGGGCGACGCGGCCGCCTTTTCATTACCGTTAAAAGGCGTCACGCGGCGCAGACGGGGGCGCCTTTGATTTTCCCACCGTGCGTTCCGTCCGCGGCCCGGCAGACACCTGCATTTTTACAATGCCCGGTTCATCTCGGACACCTGAGATTATTTTCGGCATTCCTTCGCATGGGAACGGCCGACGGCTCCGTTTTTCTGGGAAAAAAAGCGACAATGGCGAATTCCGACGTTTTTCCCACGGACGAACTATATAAACGCAGCGTAAAATTCGGAGGTTATGTTATGTCAAGTAAACTGTTTTACAAAAAGCTGGAAAACGTCACTCGGAAAACCATTAGCCAAAAATAATGCCCCGACAAGTTTCGATGACGTAAGAATAATAAGTATATTACCGGCACTATCAAAAATATACGGAAAAGTTCTTTATAACTCAAATGTATACCTATATAATGGATAATAGAATAGTACCAAAAAGCTATGGGTGGCTTCATACTTTTGCTAACTATGTTATTAGCAAGGAATTATATTGAGTGTAGTAGAGTTGTGTGGTTCTTACGATTTTGCAGGTATTTTTCATATTTTATTTGTTGTTCATCCATTTTTTATTTCAATAAATAGTGCGCAAATTATAAATTATATAAATAGTTGTTTAGGGGTTCAGTAGAGTAGCTATTTAAAGCTAGGCTGTGCCGCTTTAAATAGCTTTATATATATATATATATATATATATATATATATATATATATACATATATATATATATATATATATATATATATATATATATATATATATATATATATATATATATATATATATATATATATATATATATATATATATATATATATATATATATATATATATATATATATATATATATATATATATATATATATATATACATATATATATATATATATATATATATATATATATATATATATATATATATATATATATATATATACATATATATATATATATATATATATATATATATATATATATATATATATATATATATATATATATATATATATATATATATATATATATATATATTCTTTATATTTTGTTTTTTCTTAGACCTTCTCTATATTTATGTTTAGCTTTTGGTTCTTGAGTTATAGGTCTTTGTATTAAAAGCGATTAAAATTTTTTGTCCATATATTGACGTTTCGGTCTTCTATGACCTTCTTCAGAAAGGGGTACAGTCTAAAATTATGTTATAGTACAGTTCTTTTTTTTTTACATATACACAACGGAATTACAAAGAACCTTACCAAAAAGAGACAAACACAAATCTTAAAATTGAAGAGGTAGCATCATATGGAAGTTTATACTTTAAAAGCGTTTGGTTTTGTCATAGTGCCTAGAAATATTATTGTTTTGGTTTTTTCCAACTATGAGAATAAAAAAGTCATACCCTTGATAAAAGATAAAAGTCCAACAAAAAATGATTTGTATACGACACACACATAATACACACAAATTTAACGAAACAGTTAAAATATATATAAGAGTTTAAAAAATAATAATAATAATAATACCGATACGCGAGGTTTGCTCGCGTCGACGTTACTGTAAAAACATCGTACGATGCACGATTGTTTTGGTGCAAGGTTCAGAGGATATACAGAGTGTTTTTGTTAATTTATAATTTTTTTCTTTTATTTATTTTAAATTATTTTTATATATTATAATTTTATATTAATATATTCCTATGTTGTATCTTTCATTGTTGTTTTACTTCATATTTTTTAACTAAAAGTATATATATATATATATATATATATATATATATATATATATATATATATATATATATATATATATATATATATATATATATATATATATATATATATATATATATATATATATATATATATATATATACTTTTAGTTAAAAAATATTAATATTGCATATTGTTTTTTTTTGTTATAATGAAGGCTATATATTATTATTATTATAATTATGTAGCTTTCGAAGTTCATTCATTCTTCTGATAAAACTTGTGAAAACTTTTTGATAAAACTTAAAATTCACCTTACTTTTTGAACACGCCCCGTATAATTCGTAGTATTTACACATTTTCGTTCGACGTATTAAAAATATTTTTTTTAAATTATTAAATCCGTAAAATGAATCCAAGATTTTTAGAGCCTTTTGAACAACATTTTCTATATATTTTTACCGAAAAGTTCAGTTTGTCACCTAGGTAGAGATCATTTTTAAAGAACCAATTTTGATGTTTTTAGATCGTCTGCGTACAAGGCCGAAGTGTAAAAAGCACTTGCCAAAATCGCACAGGAAAATGGCAAACATTAAGAATTTCAAAGTGCATTGTTTTTGAAATATAAGTAATATATATTTTTGAAATAGCGCAAGATCGATGTTTGGTTTGCTCAGATCGGAATCGTCTCACTCGAGATAAGCGAAGGAGGTGACAGTATGTTTGTTTGAGAACACCTGCATTTGTTTAAGCGCTTCGTAATCGATGTCAAATATTGGTTTGTCGTGAAGAAAGATAGGTAGGGGGGACAAGACGACAACCGGGTACAATTCGGTACGATGGACCTTGTTGAGGTTACGTGTACCGCTCAAAGTGCGAAGTCTGAGAAGGTGCGTATCGTTCCGCTGATAATCATGAGTAAGCATGAACGTTCCAAAGGTTCAGTTAAAAATTAAGTTTACTGGGGACCACGAAAATAGTCCGTTGTTTTTACGCAATTTCAAAGAAAATGATATTTCATTTGAAAATCTCCCCAGGCTTCACCTCAACACTCATCAAGGAGAAATTGCGTCCCATATCTATGAGTGATTTTTGATCCAAAGTTGTTATGGGAGCCACCAATTAGAAAGATGATACAGAAAGCTTCAGGCGTAGTAATATCTGGTGGGGGGCACATCCCTCTACCTTTTACAAAGCTTATGTCGGACCCCATTTGGACGACGAATCCGCTTTTTAGTTGGTTGTTCACGAAAGACCATTGCTCAATTAAACAAAATTCAATTCGAGGCATTGACAATAGCTCCTACTAACATACTACTGGGGGAAACAAGTGGGATGGAAGCGACATAATCATTGCTAAACCAGTTTCTATTATTGTTCTAAGCTCTGTTCAGGAGTTAAAACTAAAAAAGATAGTAATAACTCCAAATTATTTGAAATGAAGAAGAGGGAGACTTTTCATTTAGTCTGTACAGACGTTATGTGTTTATATGTTATGTGGAGTAGGTTCTGCTAGACTTCGCCTCTTCTCTACTGCATATTTGAATATAACAATATAGGCAATTTATTATTATTTCTGTGCACGTAAGTTTATATGTACGAAATACAATGTCAAAAAGACAAGGCTAAACATATTTTAATCAATACAAAATCATTTTGGGATTAAATTGTTTATGCCATAGTGCGTCATGGCCGGTAATAATTTGGCACCTGTGGGGGGGGGGCTAAAAAAAACACGTTATAGAAATAAAGACTATATATTTGTTTATATCATCTTCTACCTTGTCTCCGAGAGACGCATAAAATATATAAATTTATTTACACGAAGGAAGAGGGGGGGAGGGGGCGAACAACAGTTTTTTCTCTCCTGTTCTCGCTCACACACGCTCGCTCTCGCTCGCTTCTATACACGACAATGTACAAGTGCGCAAAAACTAACTATACAAGAAATCACAGAAAAAAACACGTCACGATGTCCTGCGCGTTAAAAATAAAAATAAAAAACAGAAATAACGTATAACAAGATTGCAACACAACAGGTACGACACTGTTTCTATCTCGTTCCACGGGCGTTTCGTCAAATCAGTCGGTCGCCGACGGCGACTTTGGAATGAGAAGGATGAGGGGGTCTGGGGGAGGGGCGCCGCCCCTTCAACACGACGACGGCCTGTCGCACGGCGTCAAGGCGTCGACGGTCTGAAAAAAAAAACTCGATCAGTTTTCGGTCTCCAACTTTCAGCACCATACAGTAGGCTGTCAATGTGTCAAATATATTATATTTTCTTTTTTTTTGTTTTATTTTTATTCCTAGTATTCCATGATATTGCTTTTTTGGCCCTAGTCATCCTTTTTTTTATTAGAAAAAGCCCTAGACAAATTTTGAAACGCAATCTTAACCACGTCGCCAAATTTAAACGGAAATATTGTTAAAAAAAAAAGTCGACGAGTTTCCCCCGGGGATCTTCTCGCAACACCCTGTATGTGCATTATGCGCGCATCTGTGCGAACACGTGCGTCTTGCAGCTGTGTGTGTACGGGTAAACATCGCGGAGAAAGGACGGCAGGGGCGGCGCGGACGGGCGGACCGCGCGATTCCCGATTTCTATCGACTTAAAGCCAAATTACATAAAGGTAACTCCATAGTCGGCTTATGTTTGCGATTTTAAAATTCATTGGTTTAATGGATAATGCACAAAAACTCTTCAAATCCTTCCTATCTGACAGAACACAGTGAGTTATAATAGAGGACATGCGCTCACTTCAGGAGTGCCGCAGGGCAGCATCTTGGGCCCCTCTTTTGTGAACCATTTATATTTCTCAGCTATGCTGATACATATATAAGAAATTGCATGACCATCAAACCAGAGGTCGGGACAATGTGGTTATGACCTACTTAGTTAGCTTAGAGAGGAGTCAAACTGGTGCAAGACGATTTTTAATTAATCAAAATTTTTATTCTTTTGATGAATATTTGGATTTCAATTATACAAGGTGCAATTTAAGTACATCTTATTTTGTTACTTTTTGTTTGACGTATGTAAATCACCTGTGATGGTAACATTAATAAAGTATTCCTATACACAGCTTTCAATGACAGTGTCTTATAAATCCTAATGTAACTGAAAAACGCTTATGGTACTTTAAATCTAATTTATTCTTATAGATATTATTTATCACAAGACACCAGGAGGCTGCTGAACCACTGTTCTAGTGTTTACAGCCCTTGCTTCGACGCAAAATCATTAAAAACAAATAAAAATAGAAATTTTCTTTAGAGCAAACATTCGTGGGCTTTATTTGCAGGGAATTACAACAGGCAAATTCTCTGGACTGGTGCAGTAATACAAAACTTGTTAATTTCTGTTCAATTTTTCTTATTCTTCTCCTTTTATTCCCGGCTTTTCAATTTTTCTTCCCTCTTGGATATTTCTTGTTGATTTACTTAATATATAAGGCTTATTATTAAGACTTTAACAGTATCCGGGTTTTCGAGACTTTTGCTGCGTATTTTCCTAATTTACTTACAATTATATATATCTAATCTAATCGTATTATTATTATTTTTGTTTTCGATGAATTTAGTTCAGTTGAATGAAATACCCCTTATATTTTTCCGTTATACTTTACTTTTTTACTTCAGAAAAGGTAAAAATGCTGTCCAAGCGAGAAAAAAAATTGACGGATGTGTATGGAGAAGGCGTGTTAACAGTACGCCAGTGCCAGAACTGGTTTGCAAAATTTCCATCCGGCAATTTTGATGTCGAAGATGCACCACGGTCTGGAAGGCCGGTCGAAGCTGACAAAGATGCGATAAAGGCATTAGTTGATGCAAATCGGCGAATAACCGCACGAGAGATCGGTGAGAGATTAAATTTGTCGAATTCGACTGTTTATGGCCATGTGAAAGGCATGGGCTTACCCTCGAAGCTCGATGTGTGGATGCCCCATGTCCTTACGGAGCGGAATTTGTGTCGTCGCGTTAACGTGTGTGATTCGCTCCTCAAACGTCAAGAAAATGATCCATTTTTGAAGCGGATTATTATTGGGGACGAAAAATGGGTTATATACAACAATGTTAAACGCAAGAGGTCATGGAGCAGAAAAGATGAACCGGCTCAAAGCGTGTCAAAAGCCAACATTCACCAAAAAAAGGTGATGCTCTCCGTTTGGTGGGATGTTTTTTGAGCTTTTGCCGGACAATACAACGATTAATTCAGAAGTCTATTGTCATCAACTGGACAAATTGAATGATTCACTTAAAGAGAAGAGGCCCGAATTAATCAACAGGAAGGGTGTAGTGTTCCACCAGGATAATGCGAGACCTCACACAAGTTTGGTCACTCGCCAAAAACTTTTACAGCTTGAATGGGACGTACTGCAACGTCCACCATATTCTCCAGATCTGGCGCCTTCCGACTACTATTTGTTCCGGTCCCTGCAAAATTTTTTGGATGGCAAAACCTTTACCTCAAATGAAGATGTCAAAAACCACCTGAACCAGTTTTTTGCCAGCAAGGACCAAAACTTTTATGAGAGGGCAATTATGTTACTGCCAGAAAGATGGCAAAAGGTGTTGGACCAGAATAAAATATTTATTCATTATACGAAAACTGTCTTTCATGTTCCCCAAAAAAAACGAAATGACTTTCCGAACAACCCAATAACAAAAGTATGAATAGCCATTTTGTTTAATACGTAGTCAATTTGGCCTGTCCAGGACAAATTACTGTCTATGAACAAGCCCAAATACTTGACAACGTTGGTCTGACTAATCGATTTATCCTGCATTCTAACCAATAAGCTCTTGTTCAAATCTTACATTATAAATAATAAAGGTCCCAGTATGCTTCCCTGTGGGACACCGCTGGTGAGTTCTTTTGATCACAGAAGTATTACTTCTAAGCACAACTCTTTGGTCACGACCCTTCAAAAAGGACTCGATCCAGGCGTAACTATCGCTTGAAGTCAAAGAACATACATAATGTTTTATTATTCTGATCCAGGTTCGAGACTATTTGATCATATAAGGAAACTAAACAGTCTTGAATAGCGAAAACCAAACTGAGAATTCGAGAAAAATTGCTCCTTCTTTAGCCGCAAGTAAAAACACTTTTCCGATATTTTGTTTACTGTTAAAAAAACTGATGATTGCACACTTTTCTGTGGTTTTGTTTTTTTATTTTTTCTCAAAAATATTTTGGAATTATGAACTATTATCGCTTCCGTTTTGGCTAGGTGAAAAGGCAAATTCTCTACCAATTCCTATGAGATACAAAAATACCGTGAAGTGCTTTATTTCAAATGAAACACCCTGTATATTATCACATATTCTATTGGAATTTCGAATGGTGGATCATCATGTCCCTATACCTAAACATTCGGTATGGTCTGTTCATAGATATAAGAATGTGGGAATGGGATTGTCCAAGGGTGGTCAATAACATACAATGCAACAAGATTATTACCTATAGTTTCGGAATTTAAATTCAGGTAAAATTGTGGTCCGTAATAGAAAATAATTTTATACCTACCTGGGTTTAATATTCTTTGGTTTGGTTACTACTTGTGCGTAAGTCCATTTCAGCGAGGAAAAAAAATGCGATGCTGCGTAAAATTTACTAGTTATACGAGGAACAAAGCGTGCCTACATTAGATATCTTAATTAGGAGGCTTGAAAAAGATGAAACTGGTGTTAAATGTGGCAGAACTACCTCATGGAAGTGTATTCAACACATGGGTTTTAGAATTAAAAAAATTGACAAAAGGCAAGTCTTAATGGAATCTTCTAGAATTCGGAAATCGCGACTGGAATATCTAGAAAAAAATAGTATTTACAGAGAACAACAAAGGATAATTATTTACTTGGATGAAACCTGGTTCGACACTTATGATACCCCGGAAAAGGGTTGGGTTGACTCAACTGATAAGTGTAACACAAACGCGCCATCAAAAAGAGGTAAAAGAATAACTATTTTGCATGCTGGCTCTAATGATGGTTGGATTCCAAATGGACTTTCTCTGTCTGCGAAAAATATTAAAGTTTCTTCTCTTGATTACCATGAAGACACCACCGCTGATTTATTTGAAAGTTGGTTTAAAAACAAACTAGTTCCAAACATTCCTCCTAATAGCGTCATTGTAATGGACAATGCAGTAGACAGTTGACTAAAACCCCTTCTTCATGTGACACAAAAGCAACAATCCACAACTACATGTATAATAACGACATTTATTTTCACGAAGATTATACCAAAAAGCCATTAATTGAGGTTCTACAAAGCTTGATCCTACAAAAGGAATACGTCTGTGATGATTATGCAAAAAATCTAGGGCATACAGTTTTAAGACTTCCACCTTACCACTGTATATTTAATCCCATTGAACATGTTTGGCCCAGTGTTAACTCAAATGCCCTCAAACTTATAGAAACCGAAGTTTTTAACATCCCTCCACAAAGTTGGGCAAATTCTGTTAAACATATAGAAAAAGCAGAACAATCGTATATCCATATTGCAAATAATATAGAATAAATAACAATTAGAACAGGCGATGATAGCGATAGTGATACTGATATATTATGTCAATAATTTTAACTAATTTAAGTAGCTAATAAACATAATTTGTAATTTTATTTTAGATTTTAACATAAATACATTCATAAATAAATAAATATTGTTTAGTGTCTTTCCTAACAAAACCCCAAATAATTAAATTCTAAGCAAAGTACGGACCCGTTCGGACATATTTCATTCTTACAGCTTGCCCGGGTCTTTCCTTCATTCGTATCAGTTAGTCACTTTCTTATATCTATGAACAGACTTTATCATATAGAACTAAGATATTAGGAAATAGCAAGTTAAGTCCAAAATTTTAACTTTTTTCCGGCTCCAGTGCCGGAATAAGTTTCAAAAAAATTTGAACAAAAAAGTTGGACTGAAAAGTTGACATCGGCTTTGCTGTTTTATCTTTCTTTTGCGTTTGCTTTGAAAACCCACGTTTTGCTGAAGGTATTTCTCTGTTTTCGTTTTTTATTTGTTCTCAAAAATATTTTGCAATTATGAACTTTTGTCGTTTCCGTTTTGCTCAAAGAAAAATGAATCCAATTTTTACATCACACTTTTGTACCTCGCAGGAAGAGCGTTAGTTTGGTAAACCTTGTAAGCAATAACATGCTTCCCTAGCTCAGTGTCGTAGAAGAAGGGGAATTAAAATCAGAAAAGGAAATTCTGGAAATTGAAGAAATTCAAAGACAAAATAATTTCTACATGGTTATAAACATCATTTACAATACGTTATTTACAGTTTATCTTTAATATATCTCACAATACGACAGGCAATTTAATTTTAAACGGTTGTTTATGGAATAAATTTCAATAATAAATAATACGACATTTCAAAATAAAACTTGAAGAGAAAAAAGTTGAACTGAAAAGCTGATATGAGCTTTGCTGTTTTATCTTTATTTTGTGTTTGCTTTGAAAACCCACATTGTGCTCACGGTAACCTATTATTTTTACATCACACTTTTGTATCTCGTAGTTTTGATCAACCTATATTTTCCGGCTCCAGTGCCGTAGTAATAAATATTTCAAGTCGAAGGGGAAAGCAATTCAGAAAATTGAAAGACAAAACGAACTGGATATACTTTTTTTGCCACGTCAAAAACAAACTGTAATCGGGCAGCCCGCCGCCCCCGCCTCAAAGAAAAAAATTAGGTCGTCAGCTTACCGTGACGTTGTGCAAGACGGTGGCCGCTTCGCACGGCGACACGATCCGATTGGGGCTCCGCCTCACTCCCAGCGGTTGCCTGGGACTCGCCGCTGCCTGGCTCTTCTTCTGGCCGAGGACGGATGCCGCATCGAAAGCCTCCACCGTCGTCGGGTGGGTCTCCAAAGCGCATTGCAGGTCGCAAATGTAATCGATCACGTGCTGGATCACCTCCAGCTTGCTCAGTTTGCGGTTCTTCGGCATGAACGGCACCAGGTCCTTCAGCTTCGCGAGGTACATCTGGATCTCCTCGTTCTCGAGGTCGCGGGAACGCGACACTTTGCCGCCCGCGACCGCCGCCTCCGACCGCACCGCCGTCACCGCGCTCACTACCGCTTTCATAGTCGTCCGGGAATTTTCGGGAAACGTGGCAACGTCGCTACTACGCGCTCCGATCGAACTACCGACTGCGAACGCGAAATGACGTGCGGGGAGCCGACGCGGCCGTTTTATACGACGCCGGGTGGGGGTAAAGCGACGACCAATCGCCGCGGAGGAGTGGGGGAGGAGCATGCAGGTGAGAATGGGGCGCCGCGTCGCCAATAGGGCGCCGCCGGCGACGCCGCTCCGGTGCGACGTCGCTGCCCCGGAAATCGAGTTTCGGTCGCGAACTTCCAAAAAAGTATCAAATTAAATAATGTTTTCGGGCACCTAAGACGTAACACGTAATTTGTACATGAATATACAAAAGAAAGTTTAAATTCAACAGAAAACAACTAAAAGTAGATAGATTGTTTTCCAAATAGAACCTGATTTGATACAAAAAACGCATAATATTTTATGGTTGGTTATGGTTATGGTTTCATTTTTGGTGATATTTTACAAAGCATGAAGTGTGTAAATGCACGTTACACTTATTACAAACCCAAATTGTGTGGCTGCGGCAGATTCTACATCTCCCTCGGGTTTTATTAGCATGAACAATCATGAGGTGACCTTGATTATCATGTGCAAGATTTCTTCGAGTAATTGTTTTATCAGCCTATTTTTTAGTTCCTCACATGAACTAAATTCAGCGGATATAGGTGTGTGAGTGTACTCAATCTCACCTCTCTTCCATTTGACAGTAGAAGCAAGCCTGTCTTTTGCAGAAAGCATACGTCTTCTTTTGAATTCCAGGGTTTCATCATTAGTCCCATTCAAGTTCAGTTTTTTCACGTAGATCTTTCCTTTACACATAATTTTGCGATTTCTCGGTTTTATGTCCTTTAGTAGTGATAATACAAAACAAACAAAACAAAATCATAGAATAGTTGGTGCGTTAACGCACCACTGGAACAAAATGGGTTAATATAATATAAGTATCCTCACAAAAAATGTCACAAGGATTGAGGTCGGGGCTGTTGGCAGTTCCTTGTCTACCTACCCAAAGTCTATATTTATTATCGGTGGACATTATGTGGAGGTGCGCCATTTTGGTACATTTTCTAATTTCTGTCGCAAGGAAATTTAAATATCGTTTTCCATTCAAGGATCTTTGGTATAAAATTGGTTCGATCACCATATTGTTCAACACATTAACTGACGACGTTATTGGTGGACCGAAAATGTTTATTCTTCCTATTACTTACACGTGCTGTGTTCATCGGTTAAATTTTGCGAACTTATACCGGTGAAACTTGTGATACTTTAGCGTTCATTGAATTTTACCATAGAAATTTCCGGGTATTTTTTTAACGTCAGGTATAGAATATTCAGGATTTTCTAAAAAATATGAAATATAAAAATTAAGAAAGTAGAACTGTCAAGTGTCGTAATGGTATAATAATTTATCTTGAAAGTAAAGTAATATATAGCGGTCTTCATCAAAATTTCTTTCTATTGTCTTGGCCATCCGTGTGACGCCATGTCGGTCCTATTGTTTAATTATACTTTCAATTTTATTTATTGAAGGAACTCTCCTACCCGGATATATTTGTTAACCCTTGCAGCATTATGTGCGTTTGACTAATGTAATTTCCTTCCTCAGTAGAACCCATTTAAAATATTTTTAGTTTTGATTAGTTGGCACAAGTAGAACATTGTTGAAACAATTGCAAACATAAGTAATATGGTTGCTGCCAAAGCAGACTTGACCATCTTTAATATGGCTATTATCCAGAAATCGAGTGATAATTATTTTTAAACTGAAATATCTCAAAAATCTGGAAAAAAAGATCTACGATTTAAGCAAATAATATATGTGGAATTAAGTTAATAAAAAAAAAAATAAATTTGTTTTTTGTGACATCTGCATGAGTTAACGGAGCAAAAATCTTCGAAGTTTTGTTTTTACACTTTTTTTTACATCTTTCAAAAATCGCGTTTACAAACTTGAACTCTCAGCAAAATTCAAGTTGGAAATAAAAAGTGCCAAATTTCCCGGAGGCAGAGACTTTGCAAATTCAAACTGGTAAGAAAATTTGCGTTGCAAAGGTTAAAAAAAAATATTTCTCAATAACTGTTTTGAAAATATTTGCAAGATTAAGTGCTACAAAATTTTATTTTTTATACTTTTAAAAAATGCGCAAGGTATGCCCGGTATTCTCATAAAACTGAAAATTGGGTTAATCCTATAAAGATAATTGATCATAAGCAGTATAGGCTGTATAGCCCATATGGACAGCTAAAACTTTTCTATGCAAGATTGGTACATATTGTACAGGGTGTTCGGGATATAGGTGTCTCTTACTATTTTACTAGAACTGCCTGCCGCTTCAGTCTGAATGATTTTTTCTTTGCACTTTCAAATCGTATCGACGTCCCACGTCACTTTTCTGTTCTCCTGGAATTAAAGCCACTTTCTCATCTAGAGATGTTCGCCGTATTCACTAAGTGTGTCCTTTTTTCTTTCGGCATAGAGAGTGAGGAATTCGTTATACAGAGTGGATTAATACATCGCTTTGTATGGAGACCTAATAGTACAAGAAATTTGGTTGGTAATACAGGGTTTTAGGTTATACGCTCTGGGGAGTCTTCGCTGTATTTTTAAAAAATCCTTGAAATTATTTTTTGAAAAAAATGTTTACCATAACTTTTATTTCAAGCATTTTTTTTGATTATCTACAGGGCTTTTCGATAATAGAAGAAGCCTTTAAAATAGAAAAAGCAATCTTGTTCGAGCGTGTTTCCTTCATAATGCACTCAATTTCCTGAGTGTTTTAGATATTTTATTTTTGAAAGTTCCACGCGTTTACTGTTACTATACAAAAGTTAGTTACTACGAGACCTTCTGATTTATTTCGACGCGCAAAGAATATAATTTTTTTTTATTTTTAAATATTTTATATTTTTAATAAGCAAACAATCAATTCAACACCAAAATATTTCGTTTCATCCACATTTTTAGCACCATTTGAACGTCACAACTTCTAACGTCTTCAGGTAAATGCTTAAGGTACTTAGTAAGCTTTAATAAACGACTGGGAATATCCATGTGTCCATTGAAATTAATATTGCTGCTTTACGAAAAGGCAGACAGTGGTTGTAAATGTTTACGACCTTGTTGACCTTCCCGCAATTATAGGCAAACGTAAGTTCAATTTATTTACCTTTACCTTTTATTATCGATTTACTATAAGTCCTAATACCATGCGCATTTGTTAGTCTTTCAACTGATATGGAACTGTAAGATATTGAAAAAGTACTACTTAGAAATATGATTCACGGTTTGTTAGGTACGGTTTTGGAGTTACAGTGCCGGATTTAAGAGCTACGACTTTAAAAATTCAAGTTTACAAGAAAATATTTGGTTAAATGCCAGATATAGAGCTACCAGTTTGAAAATAAGCGTTAAGTGTATAAAATTACTATTTGAAAGCACTACTGTTTGGAAACTCGGAATTACAAACTTGAAAGGCTTCACAAAATTCAAGTTTTAAATAAAAAGTGCCAAATTTAGGGCTAAAAGTTCGCACTTTCAAGTTTGGGGTCTAGAATTCTACTTACCAATTCGATTTTCGAATAACAAGTGAGAGATCCAGAGCTGCTAGCTCGAAATTCGAAATGATTAAATAATTCCAGAGATAGAGACTTTGCAAGTTCAAGTGTATAAGAAAATATTTAATTAAAATTTCAGATATAGAGCTACCAGTTTGAAAATGAGCGTTAAGTGTATAAAATTACTATTTGAAAGCACTACTGTTTGGAAACTCGGAATTACAAACTTGAAAGGCTTCACAAAATTCAAGTTTTAAATAAAAAGTGCCAAATTTAGGGCTAAAAATTCGCACTTTCAAGTTTGGGGTCTAGAATTCTACTTACCAATTCGATTTTCGAATAACAAGTGAGAGATCCAGAGCTGCTAGCTCGAAATTCGAAATGATTAAATAATTCCAGAGATAGAGACTTTGCAAGTTCAAGTGTATAAGAAAATATTTAATTAAAATTTCATATATAGAGCTACCAGTTTGAAAATAAGCGTTAAGTGTATAAAATTACTATTTGAAAGCACTACTGTTTGGAAACTCGGAATTACAAACTTGAAAGGCTTCACAAAATTCAAGTTTTAAATAAAAAGTGCCAAATTTAGGGCTAAAAGTTCGCACTTTCAAGTTTGGGGTCTAGAATTCTACTTACCAATTCGATTTTCGAATAACAAGTGAGAGATCCAGAGCTGCTAGCTCGAAATTCGAAATGATTAAATAATTCCAGAGATAGAGACTTTGCAAGTTCAAGTGTATAAGAAAATATTTAATTAAAATTTCAGATATAGAGCTACCAGTTTGAAAATGAGCGTTAAGTGTATAAAATTACTATTTGAAAGCACTACTGTTTGGAAACTCGGAATTACAAACTTGAAAGGCTTCACAAAATTCAAGTTTTAAATAAAAAGTGCCAAATTTAGGGCTAAAAGTTCGCACTTTCAAGTTTGGGGTCTAGAATTCTACTTACCAATTCGATTTTCGAATAACAAGTGAGAGATCCAGAGCTGCTAGCTCGAAATTCGAAATGATTAAATAATTCCAGAGATAGAGACTTTGCAAGTTCAAGTGTATAAGAAAATATTTAATTAAAATTTCATATATAGAGCTACCAGTTTGAAAATAAGCGTTAAGTGTATAAAATTACTATTTGAAAGCACTACTGTTTGGAAACTCGGAATTACAAACTTGAAAGGCTTCACAAAATTCAAGTTTTAAATAAAAAGTGCCAAATTTAGGGCTAAAAGTTCGCACTTTCAAGTTTGGGGTCTAGAATTCTACTTACCAATTCGATTTTCGAATAACAAGTGAGAGATCCAGAGCTGCTAGCTCGAAATTCGAAATGATTAAATAATTCCAGAGATAGAGACTTTGCAAGTTCAAGTGTATAAGAAAATATTTAATTAAAATTTCAGATATAGAGCTACCAGTTTGAAAATGAGCGTTAAGTGTATAAAATTACTATTTGAAAGCACTACTGTTTGGAAACTCGGAATTACAAACTTGAAA